ATTTAAGGGGGTCTGAATACTTTCCGTACCCACTGTATATTGTGGTGAGCATCCCGAGGGCAGATCAGCGTCGCCCTGGAAACGCCGCTCCGGCACTAATCACCGACTGCAAACACCTGAGCATAATGGCCAGCACACCTGGAGCTCGTTAGCAACTGCTTTAAAACTGGGAGGGAAAACACACTAAGGTGAGTAACATGCTCCCTGGAAGAGAGACTAATGAGTGTTTTCTCTCCCTCTTTACAGAGACTGGCTGAGCTCCAGGCCGTTTGCCACACTTCACGGAAGATCACGACACTATTTCCACTGGGACCTGGAGCACCTTCACCGAGCACCGTATTATCACTTCTCTATTTAAATAAATCACCCTCCGGGGATTTTTGCTGTTAAAAATCCATCTTCTGTGTCTGTGTCCTGATTCACCCCGCTACAATATATTCTTTTCTTTTTTGGACATATACATATATCAAAGTGAAAATAAAAATCAATATTCATCCACCTGCTACAGCTGTAATGGATATTTATATTTTCATTGTATATTTAAAAAAAAATCTAAATTCGTTGCAAAGCATGCATTGGTACAGTATGGAATCTACAGCCAATGCAAGCAAATAGGGCTAAGGATCCCATTTGAGATTAGACAACTGCACCGAAAGTGCAATTATGTCCCCTCCATTGCATAAATAACTGAATCTTGACTGAATAAGACTCTTATTCTGTACCTATGTTCTTGAAGTAGATGGGTACAAACACATTGATGGCGCGCTCCACTCCCAGCATCCCGAGACAAAGCAGAACCAGCAGCTGGAGCAGGGCGCTGCCTTTAGGCCACATGTACGGCACCAACAGATGCACCTTCTTCCCAAAATCTTTCCAAGTAGACTGATTCTCATCAGAATTACCCAAGAGTGGCTAAAAAGATGCAAGAGAGGTATTAATGAGATTAATAATTAAGAGAATAAGATGTATTCATGCAGATTTGAGAGTGAATCTAATGTCTTACTACACCATGCTCCACATCTCGCTCGTCTTCATTGATCAGAAGCATGTACGGTCGGCGTGGCAAGCCTGGAGCTTTGAGGCCTAACAGGAACAGCAATCCTGAGGCGAAGTATCGAACTAGCCAGAAAGCAAACTCCATCTGCAGACATAAAGTCACAATGAACATTATGTATACAGTGATTATGCTATTGTTTGTATCTTCTAGAATCTCTCTGATATTATCTAAACAGTAAAGAATGACATTACTATAACATGTCTCACATTTTGAGAGTTTAGTCATTAGATTTTAAACAAAGGACTTTAGCTTTTGTGGTTTCTTTGGCTTTAATAAAATATTATTTTGTGGCATGGATTTGTTTGGAATTTATCAAGTCAATTTGTCTTCTGTAATTAGTAACTTACCAAAAACAAAACAACAACAACAACTGTAGCATTAGTAAGTTGTGTTTAAAACAAATTTAGAACAAAACGCTTAAAAAAAAAAAAACAGGTTTTAAATATAAAATGTATTAATTTAAATAAAAATATAAAATGGTAGTTAATTTTAAGATTTATGTTAATTTTAGATTAAGTTTTACATCTACTTACATTTATAATCATATTATTTATATTACATTTAATTAGATACATTTAATTTTTAAATGTATTTAATGTTTAATAATTAATAATTATTGCTGATGTATTAAAGGTTTAACAATATTTATTAAATATAATAT